CCCCCCAAACTGCAAGTTCTAATCCACCTCTACTCTCTATCACGTGGAACCCAATGCCTGCACAAGTCTTCTGCCATGCAAGTCCAAAACACAAAGCTCAAAAACCTGACTGGCAGAGCGTCTACACCCTACGCCCACATGACCCAAATACTCAGCATCTGTTCAGAACTCATGCTTTTTTATTACAGGTGCGCTACGGGAGACGGTAGTGTAGTGTATAGAGCCTTGGCATTCAAACTCCATGCTGTAGGGGGGGGGTCTTTGTGTTGCCAACATAGTGAGGCCCGGAGTATGGTTCAACTAGTCGTGGCTGGTGCCTAGACTATGGAGCTCCCACCCTGGCCAGCTGAGGTACAGACATATTCTGGAATTACCCGCGACTCATCTTGCACGGCGGGAAGAGCTTGGTTCCGAATGCGGATGTTTGACGCATGGGTTCCTTTCTTCGAGGTTGACTAGTCAGATGGCTCAGTTCTTTGGCTTCGGATCCTCACACGGAGCATGTGTTGCAATGGAATATCCAATCCGAGGTCGAATCTTCCAGGAGGCTCGGCGCTTTGGAAGTTCCTCATGGACAAGATCTACTTGCCCTTCTACAAGAGCTCCTTGTCTTTGGTGCTCAGGATTGTTTTCGGCTTAGGGCGTAGGTAGCTTAGCTGTAGCCCAGAAAACCTAGATCTACTTGCTTTTGACGGCTCTATGCGGAACTGTGCATATCAAGGGGGCCCTCCTTGGAAAAGCTCACTGGGACACAGGAGATGAGTCCCCATGCACTTCTCATTCGATTTAGGGTCAAGGTTGGGAGTAGTCTATATCGTGGGGTGGAGGCTCTCCAGGGCGGACAGGATCTTCTGAGACGCCCATCCTACACCGCCTTTAATCTTCAAACCCTAAACCCTCTCATGATGGTAAACCTGGTAAACCTTGATTAATATCGAATTGGACTGCTGAACCCTAGAAAGCAAAAGACCAAAGCCCTGAAACCCGTAACTCCGCGTATGCTCTGAGACCCTATAGTCTTTCAACCCACACTCGTAAATAGCTTAACGGTTTCGGGTTTAGGGAAAAGATTAAGTTGAAGTTTGGAATTATGGGGCCCTAGTATGGCCCTTAATCCTGGGTTCCGTTTCTAACTACCATATACATTGGCGGCCCATATTAGGCCCGTGGTAAAGACTTGGCTTGGTTACCGCCCCCATTCTCTAACCGTTGGATAGAACTTTTGATATAGTTATCTCTAGCCCTTCATATGACCCCTCTCATACAACATTTATGGGTGAGACCAGTGCCCAAGACTTAGCACTGAATTTCGAGAGCCATGGCTTTGTAAGTAGGTTAATAATGGGGACAACTGGGGGCTAGTATGTGGCTTATGGGCGGTTATAAGGCTGGTTGTCAAATTTATGGTCCCTTTTTGGGTACCCTAAATATTAGGTGCCGTATTATAATAAGGACCCAAAAAGGGACCATAATTTTGACAACCACCCATAAGTATACTTACAAAGTCCACCTGACCCTCCAAGCAGGCTTCATGGTTCGCAGCCCTGGGTCGCTGCAAGCAGTCTTGGACACGGTGGCAGACTGGAAGCCCCAAGGTTGGTGGTCTCTAGCTAGGGTTTTTACGGCTTTAGGGTGTAGGAGTTTTAGGGTTTCATGGTTTCAGGGTTTCGTGGTTTAGGGTGTAGGAGTTGTAGGGTTTCATGGTTTGAGTGTTTAGGGTTTCTCGGGGAGGGCAATGGGAAGGTCCTCGTATGCGATTACAGGGTGTCCGGAGTTTTGTTGGTGTAGTTCGGAGATGATGGGTTTCTTGATGTGCGGAAGATTGCGGGTCCCCCTAGCCGCCCCCCCCCCCATGCGCCAAAATTAGGGAGTTCATGAGAAGGGGGACCTTTATTTTTGGGAAACTAACGAACGGAGTTCTGTGAGGCCTACCTCTACTTGGAGCTAGGGTGGGTACTAGAAACCTGCATGACTTTTATTAATACCTTATACCTTGGGGAATTATGGTGCTACACTAGAATGTCATGCAGGAATTACAGTATCAACAGTAGGGCTTCCATTTGTGTCCCGAACAGGGTTTTAGAGTTGGGGTGCTCAGGCAACCCTTCATGGGATGCACCTGTTAAACCAGGGGTAGTTACCAGTGAAGGGTAGGTAATTAGGGTTACAGGTAAATCCTATGGCGTGGTTCTTAGGATCTAGGGAGTCTACTAAAGAGCGCTTGTAAAAGCATAGGCCTGAAGGTGGTTGGCCCTTTCGTGATGGTGGTTTCTGGTGAAACTGCATATGTCAGTCCGTAAAATGAAAGAACGTTATTGAGCGCAATGGTTGATTCCACCCGCCCCTGAAAGATATTTAGGGTTTGGGAAGGTAAAGACCGCTTTTCCGGTTTGGGGCCTGTGCGGATTCGACTCTCGTATTTCCAAACTGCTTGCTGTTTAGTAGCTTCCTTGCAAGGGAATTTCTCAAAATGCTCGCGTTCACCCCTATAAAGCCGTAAAGAGTCATCTCTTCAGAAACCAAGCTTTCGGGCTTGCAGTTTGATTGGCAGCTGCAAGGTCCAGGGTATGAATCCCCAGGCTCCTCAATCATTAATCCAGCTCTGGGCAGGATTGCTGCCATGCCATGGCAAATACGTACCCAATGGTGCGTACAAAGAGTTTCTGGGACACCTCTCCCGTTAGCAAGCGCTCCCAGGCAGGGGACTTTACGGGTTCCTGAACCATCCTCCGCTTAAAGCCCCTAGACTTAAAGACTTGTTGGCCAGATAGAGGTTTAGGGGATTTAGGGTTTAGGGGGCTCTTTTCCCTCCACTCCTGGTACCCCTTCCCCCGAACATGGTTTGGGCGCTTGGTGTTGGGCGTTTCAGGTGTAGATTCGCATAATCAATGGCTTGGGAGCCTGCTTCCAGGTTTTGGGCCAGCTACGGGTACGGTACAAAAGGACCCAACAGGTGGGCTTGCTTGGATTATCTGATTCTTTCTTGGGCCGTATGCAAGCAGACATATATCAGTAAAAACTCTCTACGCCTCTTTGTATCCTTATATACTCCTAGACATGGTCCCTGTGTAAGTGACGGACATCCCTATCCCCAGCCGCGCTCATCATCTATCGTGTCCGAACATGCTGAGCATCTTCGTCTCAGCAATAAGACCTAGGAAGCGCTTGCAACTCAAGAAGATGAAGGATTAGGGTTATAGGACGTGATAGGGTTTAGCGTTTAAGTGTTTAGGGTTTAAGGATGAGGTGCTACCCAATGATTGTTGCTCATCCTCCCTGGACCCTGAAGCAAGCACCCTGAACACTCCATCCCCCAAGCCTTCCAGCCGCAAACCCCCAACAGACTAGTAACGACTACCCTTATTCAATAAGTATAACGGTATAATCCATAAACCTGTAGGTAAAGGAGGTTACAGGTAAAGCCTAAACCGGCCAGGCAATGCCCTGGATCAACCTCTCCTGAGCCTCTGGCGTTGGCTGTCTAGTTTAGCTTCAGTCCTGATACCAAGAACCAAGCTGAGCGGGAAAGAAAGGGCAAGGATGGTTTCAGTTTTGGGGCGACCCTCACTTCTCTCAGTGCGCTTGTGCAGCTCTCTGTGTTGTCCTGATTGCAGCGTGTGGTCACCTCCGCCGTCCCTCTTTCTATTTTTCAGCTAATGTCATAGCTACTGCACCCTGGACAATCAACCAGGTCACCGGCACAAGATGGTTTACAGTAAACATCCAGGATGCAAATGAAGCAGTTCCTCAACCTATGCTATACTAGTGTATTACCCCGCACGTTGCACTGCCCCTCACAGTGCTCTCCCATTGGGATTAAAACGGCTTGGCATTCTCATGGGAGGCAACATAACGCCATCTTTTAAAAAAGCTGTCCTTGAACTACCAAACGGGCCGTCATGCATCCTAAGCCTGAGCCCTAAGTGGGGAAACCTTTGCTGGGTTGCTGTTAAGGAACTTAGATTAAGTTACTATATTGGGGAAACCCTATTATTTACTATATAGCCATTATGGTAACTTTATTTAAGTTCCGTAACAGCAACCCAGTTTAGTCCCTGAAGCCTTGCTCTTGGCCAATCCCTGAATCTTGGCAGTGCATACACGACACGTGGACACTCCCTTCAAGAAGGTAGCCCAAAGTAGAAGCCGTGTACCGTCGAGAACAGATGCCCTGCTTGACCCTACTCCAAGCCTGAATGGGGTCCCTAAAGCCCAAACTTTGACTGGAAAATCCCCAAACCCTAAGCCCTGATTTGAGTGGTTGTCAAAATTATGGTCCCTTTTTGGGTCCCTATTATAATATGGCCCTAGTATTTAGGGTTCCCAAAAAGGGACCATAATTTTGACAACCACCCATTTAATATCATTCGGTCACACAGGCTGCACACCGTAAACTGTAGCAGCTCCAACCTGATACATGGTCCTGAATTGCCTGTGTTGCTGTTAAGAAATGGTAGTTTCCCAAGATAAGGGGACCCCAATATAGACCCAAATATATTATAATCCTTATTATGGGGACCCCTAAAATGGTACCCCTAATTTTGGGAAAGCCCCAAATATAAATGAAGGCTGACTAAGGTTACTTTGTTATCCAAATTATGGTGACTGAGCGTAAGTTCATCAACAGCAACCCTGTTCCAGGAAGCCAAGGTCCTAGCTGTTTTGCCTTTTTCTGTCGTTTTCTGCTACATTTCTCGAAATTGAAGGTTGCGCATATTCAAGCTCTAAAGGCGGATAGGCCATGTATTGATGTATACAAAATCGGGCTATTCATGCTGAGGCCCCTTTTGACAGGACGGTAGTCTTTGCAGTAACACTTTGTGCTGAAGGGCTAGGAAACCAGTCATCAGGTGGGTATATACTCTCAAAGGATCTCGATATGGACCTCATGTGACGCCATTACCCTTACATGAGCTTTATGTGAGCCTTTCTACCCACCCCGTAATTACCCACCCGGGGAGTGTCCTTGGTTTACTGTATTTTTCTATTTGGGGATGAAGGAGAAGCTGCCCCGCAGACGGTTGCAGAGGAAGCTGCGGCTAAGGCGATGTAAGGATGCATCTTGGGTTGAGGATTTGGCACTGGGATCCGGGGCTTAAGGATGAGGGTTTAGGATCTCAAGTGGGCGGCAAGGACACCAGTGATATTGTATAGATGTCACTAAGCGAAACTCCCACCGTCCGGTGAAGAGGCAGCCCAGGTATGCCCAGGTAAGAGTATCATGTTTGTTTAGGCAACCACCCGCTAATAGTGAGCACCGTAGTGAGCACAAGGAGATAACAGTAATTTTATTCTATGGAAGTGGCTGCTACCGGTTGGGAGAGGAACCCAGACAAGCACCGCCGCTAGCCTATGAGACCGCTACACGCGCCACCTACGCAGCTTTTTCAGCCTATGGCAAGCAGAGCGCGCTGCGCTTGAAGTCCGTGCTGTTGCTGGATGACATCCGCGACGTCGCAGAGAAGCACTTGAACGTGGAAGCCATGGAGCTTCGGGTGCTCCTGGAGGGCACGAGTTTCCTGCTGAGGCCAGCCCCAGCGCCGCAGCTCACCTTCAATGACTTTTTGGCCAAGCTCTGGAACGGGAAAAAACACACAGGCGGCAGTGAGTACTAAGCTGTGCCACCGCCGCCTGCCCGCCTCCTGCTGAGCCTGCGCGGTGCATCAAGCACAAAATTAGTATAGTATATTATAGTACATTATAGTATTTTATAGTATTTTATAGTATTTTATAGTATCTTATAGTATCTTATTATTTTATAGTATTTTATAGTATTATATGGCATCTAATAGGATCCTTTCATGGGGTATGCAACCGTTTGCAGCCTTGCAAACTATCCTGGCCTTGACTTCTGCCAGCCCTGAGCCAAATTGCATGTCTTCAGATTGGTAGTTGCCAAAAATGAGGGGACCCCCATATAGACCAGAATATATTACAATTCTTTTTTATGGGAACCTGCAACAAGGCACCCCTAGTTTGAGGACATCGCCACATTCCTGATTCTGGACAGTTTGCATTTGAATCCCTGAGCCCCCTAACCTTGTCTGATGGCCCGAAACGAATCGAAACTGAGTATTCTGTCGGCAGCCGTGAGAATTCATACCGGTAGCGGTTTGCGTTTTTAGCCCAATGCTCGTCAGCTGCGCTGCAGTGCTTCATAATATGCAAAACAATAGAATGTATGTCCGGCATATGCAATAGGTCGGTTACACGAAAAGAGTCTTGAAGCCAGAATGCCTCAAAGGCTACGCGCCGAACATGCGAAGCAAAAAAGCCTCAGCTCGTAAACTCGCCCAGAGAGCCTACCTGGAAACACTCAACAACCTAATCCCATCTCCTAATCTCCCCCCCCGCCCCCCAAAAATAATTCCGCCCAAAAAAAGAACAGTTTACGTTGGAGAGAATCTTCATTATCATGGCGGTGTTTTTCTAACTTATCAGGGAAGCATCACATCCCTACACCTTAAACCCTGGAACTGAAACCTTTAGCGCTCTTCAGCACACCCGTGCTGAGCAGCTCATCAGCTCCAAAAACTTCATTCGACCTCTTCAACCTTACCTTGCTGCGGTTAGTAGGGTAACAGGGAATATACTTGGGGGTATTATGGGGTTTAGGGTTTAGCGTAATTAGGGAATAAGGGACTATATGGGGGTAATATCGGGCTAAGGCTAAGGGTTTTGTGTAATCAGGGAAGAAGGGAATTTTTCAGAAAGGGATAATACGGGGATTACATTCCTTTGTTCCCGGCTCAGCACCAGTAAGTTACTGCGAGGGTCAAGGGGGCTTAGCAAGTAGGTTAAAAATGAGGATCACTGGGGGGTGACCTTTAAAGTACCCGTGCTTTGGGGGCGTGGAGATCCCCTAATCTTCTGTGCACGAGTTACCCCATGTATATATATATATCTAAGTAAACCTCAATGAAAAACGTTGTTCGCTTCCCAACTTCCCCTGAAGCACCAGTACTTCGAGATTTTGGGTAATTATGGCCCAGTTTGCGTAGGGGTTGGGGTTTAGCGTTATAAGTTATACCAGGATTACATCTGCACTGATAGCCCGAGTATTACGAGAACGCTGGACATAGAGAACTTAGAGCGATGACAATTAGGCTGAAAAGTACAGTGACAAGTAGGTTATGCTTACCCTACACCCTGTAGACCTAAACACAAGTAGGTTGCATTTACCCTAAGCCCTATACCTTTAACCCTGAACCCCTCCCTAAGTCCCTAAATCCTTTAACCCTTAAATCCGAAACCCTAAACCCCTAAATCCTAGACCCTAAACTAAATCCTAAACCCCAAACCCTAGTAGGTTGTATTTACCCTGAACCTTCAAGTAAGACCCAGAAAGTCCAATATCCCCTAATTAGGGAATATACCTTAAATTATATTAAGGGTCCTTAACATAATTTAAGGTATATTCCCTAAACCCTAAACCCTAATTAGGGGATATTGGACTTTCTGGAGAGACGCTGAAGCAGGAGGAAGCCAGCTCGGATTTGCAAGCGGCCTCAGCTCGAGTGAGCCGTAGTCTGAACTCCTCAAAGGGGGGGAATAAAAAGGTGTTTTAAAAAGGGTTCAGGGATTTTAGGACTTATGTAGGGGCTTATCTAGGGTTTAGGGATTAAGGGTTTAGGATTTAGGGATTTAGGGATTTAAGGTTTAGGGTTAAGGGTCTGAACTCCTTAAAGGGGGGAATAAAAAGGTGTTTAAAAAGGGTTCAGGGATTTAGGGGTTTAGGACTTATGTAGGGGATTATCTAGGGTTTAGGATTTAGGGTTTGGGGTTTAGGATTTAGGGTTTAGGGTCCAGGGATTTAGGGCTTAGGGTTCAAAGTTTGAGGTTTCCTTTGTTTAGGGTCTAGGACTTTACTTAGGGTTGGGTTGGCGGTCATTGTAGTAATCATTTTGGTGGACCTTAGCCATCACAGACTACTGAATGGTTAGAGTTGGTTTGGGGAGCGCAACAGTGTACTTGCTCAAAATGATAACAGCTTCTCAGATTGATTCAGGCTTCTACCTCTAATTGAAATCTTGAGTGCAGCCTGCATAGATTTTAAGTTTCAGCGAGAAGTGCTTCGAGGGATCAAGGCGCGGAGTGTAGCAGAAGGATGGGGGCGAGATTAAGATGGTGCAGTCAGGGAAATCAGCTGCTAGGGTGAGTGCTAGCGCTGGAGCACGTGTATGTTAATCGAAGAGCAGTATGTTGCGTGACTCTTCGGCATGATGCCCGCCCCCATTGTCCATTCCGCACTAAGTCCCCTGATCCTCCAAGTAACAAACCCTAAACCTTAACCTTAAACCCTAAGCCAAATCCCGAAACCCTAAATCTCAAAGCAGTCTCGCAATTTGGGGATGCCCTGAATTCTGTCCAATGTTTGCTCAGTGTGTACCTGAGTTAAGGAGTATACCTCGAACCTTTGAAAGGAGAATTACTGCAGGGAGTATCTAGGGAATATATAGGGGTATATAGGGGTCGTATCGCAGCCATAGGGGATTTATAGGTACTCAATAGGCCTTTGGGTTTCCCTAAATTAGGGGTACTTTGTAATACGGATTATAGTTTTGCGGGATCGATATTGGGTTCCTTCTGTAATTTCTGCAATCTACCAAAACCCCACTGACCAGCTGACATTGATTGTTGTGAGGGTCTCCAAAGGTATCTTGCCGCCAAAGCATTTGATCTGCTTTTCCAACCCAAGCTAGCATGGCTGTCCTACAAACCACGCAGGCATTTCCAACAAGAAAGGTCCCCCTTGCATACCTCAAAGCCTTATGATCCCTGTCCTAGAGAGACTCCCACAGCGTGACCTCAATTTCTTGGACCCAAACCCACAGAGCTAAACCGTTTGGCTATGCATGTGCTCAGGTCCCAAACGCTGCTGGACGTGATCGAGGCTTATCCCCATGGCAAAATGCCCCCCACGAATCCAATCCCGGTTGAGGGTTACCTGACGGCTCGGGCTAACTTAATGAAATGTTTTAGGGCTGGTGTACGCGTAACATAGGACCTACTTGTATTCGTGTTTGTGGGGTTTAGGTACCCACGTGTGAGTGGTCATTAGTACTTGAGTAATGGGCCATCATTAAACTTCGGGCTGCGCCTGCACAAAGACCAATAATGTTCCAGCAAATTCACTTTTGCATCATCATAAGCATAGATCTGGCTGCGCCATCCGTTCGTCATCTCATCGAATGATGTGCTTCGCAAAACGCCGTTGAAACCCTATGGAGAACCCCACACCTCAGCTACGGAATATACCTTACATGACACTAGGGTCCGATCCCCACTCGTAACGAGATTTAAGGAGTATTCCTTAATTAGGCTCTGGGACTCCATGGATCCACCAGCTACACGCATCCCCAAGTCCCGCCACTCGCCTTGAGATATCGCCAATAAATGTGCCTGTATACCCCTAGACACCCTAAACCGTGTAAAGGCTTGAGAGCAGCGCGCACGAAAGCTAGACTACAGCAGCTGGGGCAGGAATTTTTTCTCGCGCGATCGGACGCCAGACGTCCAGAGTGGTGAGCCTGCAGAGGTAGGGGCTAAGCAGGGCCACATCTGAAGTTTCTCTCATGTGTCTACGATTTCGTTATAACAGTGTGTGTGGCGCTGCAGCACAGAGTGGGGGTTCCAAAAAAGTGAGTAGAATGCGCGGTCTCATGCTCGAAACTCCATGCATCT